GGATTGAGAAAAGCAGAAGTGGCGAGATCAAGATCATCTACGGTGACTTCTATGCAAGGATTGGAGCCAGGCAGCATAGTCTACTTTTACAGACAGTCCAAGTACAACAACACGACAGCAGCCTCCAAGAAGAAGCTGAGCCTTCGCAGATGGCGTGGACCGGCCTTGCTCGTCGCCCTCAAGCCCAACAATGGCTATGTCAGCTATCGTGGCCAATTGTCCAAATGTGCTCTCGAACACCTTCGGCCGGCCAGCGCACTAGAACAAGTGGCAAGCTCAGTTTGGGAGGATGCAATTCAAGAAGTGGTGGACGCTGCCTGCCATGACCAAGAGATAGTGAAGCCTCAGCCCAAGATTGAGCCTCCAAAAGCAGCGCATGTCTCTACGCCTGAGGAATATGAACCCACGGAGCCTCCTGAAGATCGAGAACGTGAAACTGAACTAGAAGACGGTCCTCCGGATCTTCCTCCTGTACATCCTCAAGAGATGGTGCGAGCCTTGGAGCCCAGGCCTGAGTCGAGTCAGCCTGCTTGGTCAAGAATGACTTCATCGCTGCCTGAGTCAACAGTGGCTCAATCACCTTTCGCTGAAGCAGTTCGTCAAGCTTGGGCACAAAGAATGCCAAGACAGACCTCACTGGACACCGCCACCGGTAGTGTGAAGAGGCCAGCGGATGCAGCTCCAGTTGATGTTGAAGTGCCTGCCAAAAGAATTGCTCACGAAGAACCTGCTGCTTCAACTCCAACGCCAACCGAGCCAAGGCCTTCATCAATGGCCCGTGATGCGTTGGTTATGTCCCATGAAGTCATGGAAGCAATGGCCTATGCTGAAGTGCATCCTCTTCGTCAAATCCAGGCTCAAGCAACCCTGGACCACCAGAATCCGATGGAAGCCAAAGTTCCAGACCACGGAACATGGAGAGGAAACTGGCCTATGCCTTCGAGGACGGAGTTCCAACGTCGTCAAGCTCTACGGCAAATATGGCCACTCGGCAATGAAGATGCCACCAGAGAAGTCCTCGCAGTCCTCACCGCTCGTAAGGAGCGACCTTGGACCTCCATGACTGAAGATGAGAAGGGTGAGTTCAGAAAAGCCGCAGCGAAAGGATGGTCAGTCTGGACCGACAATGATGCAGTCGGCCTATGGTTCCTCTGGAGTGCTGATGGAGCACGTCTTGAAGGAATGATGGGGAGACCACGGACGACCTTCTCCTGGCCGGCAACGCTCGGGCAAAAGAGACTCTTCGTTCTCTAGGAGAGGAACTGGGCTTTGGAGCCATCTCTGAAGGTGGCTTCACCTACTGCGGAAAACATATCGAGCAGCTGCCCGACAAGTCCATCAAGGTCACGATGAAAGAAAAGCTGCCCGACAAGTCCATCAAGGTCACGATGAAAGAATACCACCAGGACCTTCAGCCAGTGCGCATTTCACAAGAGCGCAAAAAGGATCCCTCCTCCTCGCTCAATCCAGGAGAACACAAACACCTCCGAGCAATCCTGGGATCATTGCAGTGGTTGGTGGCCCAACTTCGAATAGATTGCGGGTTCCAGCTATCTTCACTGCAAGCAGAAGCTCCTACGATTGGAACTTTGCAACGGGCCAACCTGCTTCTTCGCCAAATGAAGCAGCATGCCGACTTTGCCCTCCAGTTCAAACCTTTGGACCTGAAGGGTGCAGGCATCCTCGTCGTCTCAGACGCCAGCCTCGGCAATGTGCTGAAAAGTGGCAGCGCTGAAGGAGAACCTTTGAAAAAGGTTTATAGCCTGGTGATGATTGCCGATGCCAACCTCATGGCAGGAAGAACTGGTCGCTTCACGATCCTCGATGCCAGGTCCCACCGACTTCAAAGAGTCTGCCGCTCAACATTCGCAGCAGAGCTCCTGGGCATCGAAGAGGCCATGGACACCGGCCAATATTGCCGGGGGGTATTGGCAGAAGCTTTTGGTCATCCCTTGGACCGAAAGCCCCTCGACCTGAGCACCGATGCGGTGCCGATGATGACCGTGACCGACGCAAAGGATGCGTACGACAAAAGCTGCAGCGACACGCCAAGCTATGGCTCGCAAAAGAGCTTGGCTTTCACCATAGCATGGATTAGAACCATGCTCAACAGGTGCAACACCTCCCTCCGCTGGACAAGCGCAGAGAACATGATCATTGACTGCGGTACCAAACCTATGGACTACAGTCAGTTGCACCAGGTCCTGGAGGCCAATGAACGGTGTGTCACTTACTCCCCTACTTTCGTCAAGCAAGCCTCGAAAGGAAAAGCTGCCAAGATGAAGCCAAGTGAGCAAATGCACCTGAGGAGCGACTTAGGAGTTCCTTTTGGGTCGGACGACCCTTTGTTTGCTAAGGTAGCCAAGCTAGCCGAAACACCCGGCTGGCACCTTTTGAGTGAAGGAGTGTCCGCACATGTGTGTAAGGGAGCTCGAAGCTTCGGCTCTCCCGAGCCCAGGTTCCAGAAAGAAGCCTTCCCGTACAGAACTTCATTTGGGAGATTTGAAAAGGTGTTGGGCCTTCACTGGCGAAAGTTGGAGGCAACAGAAGACCTCCGCGAGATTTCAAATGCTCGCAAGCCTCTGCCGACAGAGGCACATACTCTGGTCACCCTTTTCCACCAAGAGCCATCAGTGCAACAAAAAGAGAAGAATGAACTGATAAAGCAAGTCCTTTGCACTGATGTCGTGGTGAGGTGATTCCAGGTGTTTTCCCGCGGCCGTTTTAGGCCTAAGCCATTCGACTACGTCGCAGGTGAAACGGCTGCGCTGCTTGTTAGGTGACCGGTGTGTCCGCCTTTCCACATAAGTAAATAGATACAAAAACATATATATATATATATAAATGACATCATTCTCAGCATGCTTCACGCGGAAGGCTTATGCAGCGCCTGTGAATGGTTCACGTGCTTCAGCTGCCTGGGCCACCAGAGCTTTTTCAGAGCTGTTGGTGAAGATGCGCCAAAGCAGCAACACAAATTCTGTTTTGTCAGACAATGTTAACGCATGTTTGCACAAATAAACCTTATCTATGTCTGTGAGGAATCTTTGGCACAGCGAAACATTTTGAATGGCACCATCTTGAGGATGGAGATTGTTTGCTAGCCCTTTTTTTGTGCCCTTCGGCTGTCCGTGGTATCATATCACCAAGGCCCAAGCCTTCTCGTCACGCTTGCAGTTGCAGGAAGATCAAGGAGCCCAGGCGCATTGGTTCACGGGAAAGGTTGCACCACGATGTCAGCTTTGTAATTCTAGGAAGGACACTTCTCATACTGGTACATGAAATTTGCTTCGAACTTAACTCGAGGTTCGTCTCTATATGGCGGAGTCTGATCTCGCTCCAGGTTTCTTTGATTGTGCGGTAGTGTGCGTCCTTTTTCTTGAGGCACTGTCGTTGGCTTTGCCAGCGCCAAAGTCAAGAGGTGAGGACAGATGGGATGTGGAGTACAGAACTTCATTAGACATGCAATGTTTTTAGGTGTTGGCATGCAGCCTACCAGTATTGAATGGGACAGTCCACTTGGGCTGATTGGGAACTCTGTATGACTGGGACGACCCAGTCTCGGAGGCGAAGGTCCTTCTTTGCGACCGTCCGGCTCCCTCCCGAAGCCACCAAAGCAGCAAGTGGAGGCAACTTCAAAGAGTACGAGAGGCAGTTGTTTCAGAACAAGAGCAGTTTGTGTTGGAAATGTGTCTTCAACGTAAATAATTTGCTTGGTTTGCTTGCTCGTGTGAATCAGGCAGTACCTTGAGATCGATTTGCATCCACTGCATACACTTTTGTAAAAGTTGTGTTTTTCTGCTTCCCAACACGTGCGATGCGAATCAGGTCTTAGCTAAGAACTTGGCCTTGGCTGCTCGGCAACGTCCAGAGCGGAAGGACCCAACGGAGGTCCGAGATAGAGCCATCGTTTTCATGATCTGCTGTGAGAAAGAAGAGTTAATGTTGTCTAGTCTAGATTCTAGATGTTGAAAAGCCAAAGAATGTGGCCTGTAGATGAGAACCGTTTCACAGTCTTTGCCACACTTGGAGAGGCTCCGATACTGGCTTTGGCACCACCGCCACCACCCAGCAAGGGGCGTGTGAGTGCGCCTGGGTCAAGTCACGAAAGGCCCTCAGGGGGATACCTTGGGTTTGTCTTGCGAAGCAAGTCTGGCTCGAAGTGGATCTGGTCTGCAAGACTCAGATCATCGGCAACTCGGAACATGAATCAGCAGATCATCGGAGCGACAGTTCATCGTCACGATCATCGGATCGTTTGCAGCTGCAGCTCATCGGATATATGATGATATATGCAACGCTCGGATCTGCAGATCTTTGGATCATTGGCTCAACGGAGTGATCCTCCGCTCACCGGATCTGCAGTGGATCTCATCGGATCTGCAAGGCTCGGCTCAAGTCATTTGCAACTCGGAACACGAATCAGACTAGGAGCAAGAACGCTACTAGGAGCAAAGGGCATCGCTACTAGGAGCAAAGGACGCTACTAGGGGCTCCTGGCCGTACTACTAGGAGCAAGAAGCTACTAGTTTTTCATGCCCATTTTCTCAACTTCAACGGTCATCGTCTCGATCCTTGGATCGTTCGCAGCTTCAGTGCGTATCCGACTCTAAGCAACACACGGTTCAGATCATCGGACCAATCGGGTCTGCAGCGGATCTAGGGTCATCGGATCAGCAGATCATCGATCAACATCAGATCAGCCGCGCCTCGGATGGGACCATTAGTTTAGTTGTGGATCCTCGGCAACACTGGGGGTTTGACTTCATTTAAACTACAATCCCCGCAGCCCCCTCGTATTGACTGTTCATGCTCTTTGAAGGCGGATCTGGTCTGCAGGGGATCATGGGACCTGCAACAGGCGGATCAGTGGATTAGCGACGCTCGTTGGATTACGGGAGCGTACCTTCAATAAGGAGGCCCACCCGACAACAAAAGCTGTTGTCATGCATCCTGTTGTCATTGTATGTAATGTAATGGAATGTAATGTAATGTAATGCAATTTAATGTAATGTAATGTAATGTAATGTAACGTATGTATGTATGTATGAACGAACGAACGAACGAACGAAGGAAGGAAGGAAGGAAGGAATTAAATCCTTCATTTTGCGCTTGTTGCCTGTTTTCATGATTTGTTCTTCCTTACTTGTTCCTATTGCTTTCTTACCAATCATGTCTCACCCTTCTCAAGTTGCAAAACTTATTCTCGTACTCCAAAAGCTGGATTGACGTGCGTGAATGCTAACGTCAGGTACTGGCTCTGGCCGTGGGCGCCCGCACACAGGATCAGGCCTTTGCGGTCCATGGTGCTTGGGGGCACTGTTGCGAACATGTCTTCTTACAAGACTGCCTGACTGTCTCACCTCATGTTTGAAACCATGGCGATGGTTATTGAACCAAATTGAACATTTTTTTGTGTGCCGAAGATCGGAGACTTCACTTGCCAGTCCTGTCGCACGCCACAACACCTTCCTGGCGGTCACGATCCAAGCAGGTGAGTGTTCTCGGTGCATATCTAGGCTTTTGCAGAAGGTCTGATACTTTTTGCCATTTCGTTTGTCATGCTTCAATTCCTCGAGTGAAACTCAAGAACGTCATCACGAAGAAGTAAAGCAGGAGATGGACCACACCCCTAGCTCCCTAACGTCGCTCCTGCGTGCCCTTCCAATGTTACACCACGCAGCAAACGATGTTTGGGTGCCAGGGTGTTGAACCAATTTGTTTGCTCGAGTCCAGCTAACCCATAACGAGGCCCAACAACTGGAGGTTCTGGCGCAGGGGAATGCATATTTTGTCCACCCACGGTACGGAGTTCGCCTGGTAGTAACAGGTGCCACGCTAGTAGTAACAGGTGCCTTACTAGTAGTAACAAGAAGCTACTAGGAACAAGTGCATCGCTAGTAGTAACAGGTGCCACGCTAGACAAACATAGCATAGCTAAGCGAACGAAGGCCTTAACTCTGCACTGGGGGAACGAGACTACACCTCGGCCATCACAGCAGGTTGTGGAGGTGGAAGGCGAGTCCTGTTTGTGCAGCCTTCATTTTTGCAACTCAAAGGAGGTTGACGCTTTTGCTGTGCTTGATTGTCTATTAGCTCTTAGACTTGTCTCACAAAAAAAGCCTCTCATTGGACTATCATTGGACCTTTTTTGCAACTTGCTTCTTGTAAATTGTAAGCCAACAGAGGCCACTGTGGGGTCTATCCAAGCAACCGCTTGAAGGCAGAGAAGATGTCGCAGATGGAAAGGCAGATTTGCCAAGGTGCCTCTTCAAAAAGTAGGAATGGGTCCTTGGTAGGGTTTCAATCCTTGTTTCAATGATTGATTGTAAAACCCTACCAAGGGCTTTCACAAGTTATATAAATCTCACCTAGGACAATGAGTCAATTGATTGTTAAGACTCATTTGACTTTCTCGAGTCTCCTCGAGCTTTTGTGCCCGAGCCAGGCGCAGATCGCCCTTGCTGGAGAAGCGCTGGACGGTCTCTTGGCTCCTGATTTGAGCGTGCTTTCTGTTTGCATTTCTTGGCCGGACTTGCCAAACAAGTCTATCGATGTTGCTAGGGGAAGATCTGAAGTCTTTGTTTTGGAAGTTTTCCAACTGATTTTGGATTCTTTTCTTTAAAGGGTGGGTAGTCCGTGAAGAGGTAGTAGCTAGGTAGCTTAAGTAAGCTTCTAGGGTCCATGGAGGCAGGAGAGCGCTCGCACGTCTTCAGGCGGTGGAGAACCAACGAATGGCTCCCAGGAGCGAACTCGATCGACTGGAGCACATCGATCCTGATGTCGATGAGGCACCAAAAAACATTGTTTTTTGGCACCACAAAAATGACAACTCTGGGCGACTGAAACTGGATTGCCTTCTGATTATCCACGAACTGGTTTGGCTTCCTGTTTCTGTGACAAAACTTGAGGCGAATGCCATGCTCGTGGAGTCCTTCTTGAATGTCAAGCGGTCTTTGGGCGCGGAGATGAATGAGGCTTTTGCCTGCAAGTTGGGCTGATGCTGGTGGAGACTGGGAGATCCATTGTGGCAGGCCACCTCGCAGTGTTCGCAGACCATCCCATCTGCGTTTGGGAACCTGGGTGAAGCACACGCAAAACACAGAAGAGCGGAGCTCAAGCGGAGCTCAGAGGAGCTCCGAGTACTTTTGGCTGCTGATCAGATAGTCTGTTTGAGATGGCTCCAATATGCAGGCATCATGTGGCATGCGCTTGCACTGCAGCTGATGTAAGGTCCAGCTACTTCATCTCCAAGCCGCATGGCACCACACCTCGTGCAGGCCAGGAATTGCTGAGAGCACAAAGAAACAGGGCCCAGTCATAAGATCTTGGCTCAAGCCCACGTTTTGGAGTGTCTAGATATGCTGATGTGACAAGGGTGGATCACGATGCTGATGCCGTGGAACAATGTGGTGTTCTGGTTGTTGTCATGGGCACCCATGTATGCTCTTCTAGAACTTCTAGATGTTGTTTGGGAGCAAGCTCGTTGCTGATCTTGCCGTCTTGTGCTTGCTGCCAGGCCAAGGCAACCAAGGGGGCTTGCAGCAGGCAGGCTACCAGGCACATATGGGGGAAATGGACAAGAACTGGACTGCACGTAAGTTACTTGGGCACCTGAACGAAGGTGTGCGAGCGTTCAAAACATTGTGTTCAAAAGAGAAGACATGACCGGCACTGCCTTTGCAGGTCTTGACAAGCTTGCCGGTGCCTCCACTTAGTGCGAGGAACACCTCAGCTTTGGGAAGCGCATACTCCTGCGCAACTGATCTCAGTAGTAGTGTTCCAGTAAGATAAGTGTACTTCGGCGGTGCAACCAATAACTAACGTCTTGGCGTGCATGGTATAGTTGTCTCATGTTGTTTTCAACGAAGAATTTATTCTTCAAAGCACATGTGTTGGAATGGCACCAGCTGATTTAGATCGAAGCAGGTCCAATCGTGGATGACATGTTTCACTCACAAAACTTGTAGAGGGCATTCTAGTATGCCTTTGTAGCTTAAGGTCCCACAACATCCCACAACAACATCTCGTTTGATCGTCATGAGCACACTCCTCTGATGTGTGCAATGCCCTTTTTCATCGTCTCGCTCGCCAAACTTGGTGGCATGACGCCAGCAGATGTGAGATGCATCTATAAAAACAAGTGAGCCTGTGCTTCCTGCTGATGTGACTATTGGATTCAAGCGACCATGTAAAGTTTGCCTGGCTTCATAGCCTGACCCTGCGACAAACCCTGGTTTTCACATGTTTTCACCAGAGTTGTTGCTTTGTTGGCTCAAAGGAACCAAGACTTGCATGATGAAGTTGGATTCTTGTCCGACCCCACTCCTTCCCTTGAGGGGAAGCAACCATTTCCAGCACACAAAAAGCAACCCAAAGCACCACGTTCAACCTTGAAGATGGCCTCAATGACTGAAAGTTCAGCCCCAGACGTTCGACTGTGCCCTCTTTGTTCTCTGTGCGTGCACTCGTCCGGGCGCTTGACCGTGCGGTCATGGAGCAGGTGAATCGCCTGCCTCGGCCCAAGGCGTGGCATTCGGTCATTTGGGATGTCGTCCCGTTTAACACCCAAATGAATTGATCAACCGCGAAAATCTCAAAATCTAAACAAGTCTTCTGTTTTTCTTGCTTTGCAAACCCACCGAAGCGGTGAAGACCGAAGGGGTGCCATGACTGCACAGGATCCTGCGGCTCTGGAGCGCCTGGCAGAGGCTCAGCAGCTGCTGTGCGCGCGTGCTGTGAGTGAAGAGGCGGGCTGTGGTCATGAGCTGCGTTGGTGCAACTTTAGAACAGGTCGCTCAAGCCCAACGCAGCTTTTCTACGACTGCAGCAAGGTAAATGCCTAGCTTGTTGTTGTTGTTGTGGTGGTTGTGGTTGTGGTTGTGGTTGTGGTTGTGGCTGTGGCTGTGGCTGTGGCTGTGGCTGTGGCTGTGGCTGTTGGTGTTGTTGTTGTTGTTGTTGTTGTTTCTTGCTGCTTCGAAGAGTCTTCCGTGTGGCACAAAGCTTTGAAGAGTCTTGGCACCACCTCAGCCCACAACTGGCGAGCTGATTTGGTGGCCACCATGCACAACCTCAAACCATGTGATCCAGGACTGTCAGCATGCTGTCGACCTGCTGCTGGAGCTGGCACGGCCTGTGGAGGACTGGCTTGCCGGCTTATTGCTGAGATCCAGTTTGGTATTGATAGCAACATGCCAAAAGGGTTGAGGTTGGGAAAGAGATGCCAACTGCACCAGAGACGACAGGAGGATGGCTTTGGCTACAGCCCAGCGCTGTTGACCTTGGCCTCTCTCTATGAGTCGGGCTACGAGCCAGCCATCCAGCAGGATGCTGTGCAAGCTGCTAGGCACACGCACACACACAATGAATGGGATTGATAATGCAATTGATTGTTGCATGTGCTTATGCGTTCATTGCAGGCCAGTGAGGGTTGTGGTTACTAAAGACAAGGAAGGTATTTCTTCTATGCAGTTCTTTTCAGTTTCCTTGAAAGGTTTTGGGTAAGCAAATCATTTCAAGATCCCATTTTTTTACCCAGTTGCTGTTACTGCAAGGTGTGTTTGAACGTTCTGCAAAGAACACTGTACAGTAGCAGGTGTATCCGTGGCCGTTCTATCAACCACGAGGGTGTCCTGTGGCCAGGTACTACATCTCCTTGCTTGAAGTTCAGATCACATCCCCCAGCCTCAGCCGTGATTTGCTGGAAGAGGCGCCAGGGCTTCCAACCTACTAGCAATGGCTTCCAACCTACTATGGCCTCCAACCTTCCGGCGATGGCCTCCAACCTACTAGCGATGGTCTCCAACCTATAAGCGATGGCCTCCAACCTACTAGCCATGGCCTCCATCCTTATAAGCGATGACCTCCAACCCAATAGCGATGGCCTCCAACCAACTAGCTATTTGGATCTTTTTGGGATTTGCAACTCCCCTCTTTCATTGGTTCATTGTGTGTCTCACTGGCAGAAAAAGCCAGCAAGAAGGCTAATGTCCGATTGATTTGTTTGATGAGGTGAACACAGGTGAACGCACTCCCGTTTTGTAGCCAAACCGGTGTGCTTGCGAGGCTGCGACGCACCTCTGCAGCTTAGCCAAGGATCCATCCTGCAACTTGCCGGACAACGAGGTCCGCCGTTTGGAAGCTCTGGCGGCTGAGGAGCGATCGACCTGCACATTTTGCGGTCAATGTCGCATTTTGAAGAACAGAACAGCCTGTGAGGATGGGCAGCCCAGCAGCGCCTGGTTGACCTTTGCCGCTGCGGAGGCGCGGCGCAGGTGGACCGAGGCCAATGAAGACCCTGAGGCGCGATCAAGGGAGAATCAGCACATATGTGCACTGAGATATTTTGGACCCAAGCATTTTCAATCATTTTTCAACATATATATATGATTATATAATGTTTCAGGTTTGAAGCAACCGTGTCGAAGACGAATTGTTTGAAGAACCTGGAGTTTGAGTGTGTCCGGCTTGGCTTGCCTCCTTTTTGTTGCTTGGAGAGGTGCGGAAGCGGCGGCAGCAACGGGAAGCGCAAAAGGCTGAGCAGCGGCAGCGGATGTTGACCGAGCAGCGGCAGAGGGCGCAACAGGCGCTGAGCGAAGCAGAGGAATTAAGGCCGAAGTGGGATGATGCTAGTGGAGCATTCTGTTAGTGATGACAGTTCTAGTCGGACGAGTCGGACGATGGAAGACTCATCAAGAAGTACGGCAAAAAGCCAGAAGCCAGAGAAGTTCTTCGAACTGGAGCCGCTCCCACTGCAGGCTGCAAGGCAATGATGTGTGCCGTCAGGGTCAGCTGCCGGGCAACGCTGCAGCACAGCAGCTTCTGTTGCAGGAGTGGATTGGAAGTGTCGTGCTTTCGTGGAAGATGGTGCCAAAAAACATCAGTAGTGAGGGAGCACAAGACGACGACAATGTTTTCTTCTGTGGTGTTGCAGCACATCCGTGAACCACGATGCATCACTTGGCGAGGCAGTCGCACTTTACGACCAGGCAGTGGAGGTGCTTTCAAGGTGCCTCGTGTAAAGACACCGACACCGCTGCCAACAATGCCGCCGGTGGTGTTTGTGTGCGGGGTTGATGAGAGCAAGCAAATATGTAGTGGCATGAACCAATACAGTAATTGCACGTAATTACAGTTGACTTCGAGATGCTCAGCTTGCCAAGCCTTGCCCGAGCTCTGCACGGGCTGCCAGGTGCTTAGAGCAATCGCTCCCTGCAGAGGAGTCTTCAGAGCTCCGCAAGCAACGGGCCTTGCTCCGCTCCAACTCTGCTCAGGTGTGAGAAGCGAGAACTGGGCCAGTGCAGTGATGAAGATAGCTGTTGTTTAGAGTAGAAAATTGGAGAACTGGTATCCAAATTACATTTGCAACAGCAATGCCACTGACATTCTATGCAATTCTTGCGGTTGGTTTCATCTGACATGGTTGCTTCCACAATGTACCGGTAGGAAAGGGTATACTGTATACTTGCATACTTGTGTGACTGTGGTCTTGCGTCTGTTTGGTGAGTGTAGGACCTATGTCATGTTTGTTAATTGCAAACCAAGTGATCAAACTCATCCCTTTCTGTACCGCTTGAGATGTAGCGCTTCGCTTCGTTGGGACATAGCGAGGTGGAGTTGTCAGCTGAACGCTGGGCTCAAGCAGCGAAGCTGGCGGAGCTGTCCCTGAAGGACCAGTGGAAGCTCATTCGGAATTCTGCGTGTTCTGTGAATTGTCTCTTCTTGAACAAGTAATTCTTTTCTTTGTGGGTTAGAATGGGAACAAAGGCAAACCGTGTCATGTTGCCGTCAAAGTTTTCACTTGTGGCATGCCGATGTCTGCGTAGGACGAACCCACCTCGGTGAAGACCCGTTACCGCCTGGCCAAAGCACAGCTGGGTCAAGGCGAATGGGCCGCTGCCGCGGAAACCGTGGACCAAGCACTGCTGGCGCTCAAAGGTCGGGAGACGCGCACTGATGCTCCAACGTATTCGTTAGAGGGGAACAAGGGGAAACTGAAACAAGGAAAGCTCTGGGACAAGCAATGACGCTACTAGTAGCTCCTTGCATCGCTACTAGTGACAAAGGTCTGAAAGATCCTGAAAGCCTTGAGAGGATTGACAGTTAGGATCTCTGGGATCAGCTTCAAGTTGTCGGTTCCATTCTGCCAGCTGGTGAGGACAAGCTGCCAGTGAGCGCGAAGCCTTCACAGTGGAACTGTGGAAGCTGGCGGAGGAAGTCACTGCAAAGCTGCCAGACTGGCGTTGGTCTGCCTCCAAACCGGAGAAGAGAACGGCCCAGGAGCTGCTGCGAAAAGGAAAAGTGAGACAGGGAGATGGCTGAGATGAGATGGGTTCTAGAACAAGAGTTTGGACGCTACGAACGGGGCTCCTGGCCTTACTACTAGGAGCAAGGACGTTACTAGGGGCTCCTGGCATCGCTACTAGTAACAAGAAGCTAGTTTCACTTTCGAACCTTCACCCATTGGTTTTGGAGGACTCCCCCTGACTTGGTTGCTTTCAGGATGACTACGAGAAGCGAATCGTGGGCTGGTGGGAGTATCCGGGGAGCAGCTTTGAAATCCGTTTGGAGCCTTGGGGTGCTCTGGTCTTCCATGAGGACACCGTGAAAATTGAGCTGATGAAGAAGGGCAAGTTGAGGTGGCGAGGTGAAGTAGAGCTGATCTCCGGCATGGTACTGAACCTATCCTTCGAACCTGGGAGTGATGTCTTGGTTTTAGAATTCATCCCACCACCGGAAGCTCGGATGTGAGGTCTGCAAGGTTTTCTTTCATGCTTCATTTAACCATACATCTCCATGCAAATATATATATATAATTATATATATATATATAATCCTTTGATCCTGCTGCAACATGCTGCAACATTGTTGTGACACGAACTCCAAGGAAATGCCCGAGAAAGATCAATGGAGTGGTCCGAAGAGGTTCACCGCAAAGCGCAAGGCAGTGTCAAAACAGGAGGCTGCAGACCAGCAGGATACTTGTCCTTCTAGCCTCTGAGGCTGTAGGTGTGTTGTGTTTCTTGGACACGCTTTTGGAACAGTTTCTTCTCAGCTGTTCTGAGGAGCAACTTCCAACACCAGAGCTGGCGCCCGAACCGGCGCCGGAGCCGGCACCGGGCCACGATGAGGCTGTGCTGTCACAGGTCGATGAGTCGAAGGAAGAGGATGTGGCGGCCATCTTGGCTGCAGCCCCGAAAGAGGCTGGAAGATCTGGAAGATCATCGTCTCAATGGCTTACCGCCAAACTCATACTTGTATGTCCAAAAACTGGATTCAGTCACTAGATATTCAGTGAAGAGGTCCACGTCAAATCCCAGTGGAGGTCTGCTTGGGCGGCTACCCTAGCGTGGCTGGCCATTACATCCTGCAACCAGAGCCAAAGAATGGACGTCCTGTATATTGCCGTTCTGAGCCTTGCTGCAGAATTTAGCTGAACTCTACATACCTATATCATATATCCTAGTGGGACAAGGCTGGATCTGGATGTTTGCATCAGTCTGATTTTGCCCAATGACGTGGGAATAGTAGGTTTCACAGAGTAGTGGCCAACGAATGTGCTTCAACTTGACATCAGACCTCAATGGGCTTCTCGTATTTCCAAGTCACCAAGTCAACGTGGTCCCTTCGCTTCAGGATGGTCCTCAGGGCGATCAATTCCTTTGGTTTAGAGGCGCGGTCTGTGTCACCGACCCTCGTGAGCAAAGCGGTCCATCGGCGAGTATACACAACTTAATAGGTTGCCATTCAAGATATATATATATATTATATATATATATATACTGTAGCGATAGTAAGGTGGAACTGAAGAATGTCAAGCACATGGACCTTAAACTCAATGAGATAAAACACATCCTGCACACCGATGTTACTCACATGTATGACCGCTGATTCCTCAGGTGGAAACTGGGGCGTCACAGACTCGCTCAAGGCATCGGCTCTGGCTGCTCCTTGGCAGGTTCGCTGTGCTGACGCGGCCTTGCAGCCATTGCAGCTTCGGCGGCGGTCCAAATGGTATGCGCGCTCAGGGAAGAACCAGGAGGAGATCACGTGGGGTGCCAAATTGCAAATGCAAACGACTGACCCTAAATCGTCCATCGTCAAGCACAGAGCTAGCAAAGCAAGGAGTGCTGGTGGATTATAGTGCAGTGCAAAGTGTTGGATAGTACAATTTATAATTATGTTGCTTTTGAACTTTGCTCCAGACTTTAGCTCCAAGAACTAAGCACTGTCAGTGATTTACATGCAAGAACAGCCTGTGGAACCTTCGCGTGGACAGACCTCCGTGAAACAATTTCCTCCTCTACGGCTGAACCGTTTGGTTATGGGAATCGCAACTGAATGTACCGCCTAGTAGTATGCTTTGTTCAATGTCATCAGCATTTTCAGCGTTGCCGGTCCCCCCTTCTGCCTGGCCAGAGATGGACTCAGTTGCAGGAGCTTGTTCCACACCTTGCTGTTTCTTTGGTGTTAGAGCCAGAGCCTTCCATGGATCCTGCTGAGACTTCCAAAGATCAAGGCCTTCTGTTTTTGGGAGTTGGCAGGAGGAAGCATTGTAAACATCGTAGTGATGTGACATGGTTGCTGACAAAGGACAATGGCTTTTCTTTGTGCTTTCCATCTGGAGTCTTTGTGGGAGGCACCACTTCAGCTAACAATCTGCCATCATGGGTGGCCGAGACTGCTGTGGATGTGGAAGACAAAGAGCTTCGAGTCAATGTGGTCTTTCCGCCTGACCTCTCTGTAAGCCTGGCATCCTTGGACATGTCCGCCTCAGAGGGAGACTTGGACATTTGTTTTCCACTCCTTTTGAAGTTGATTACCCTCCAGACCACAGACCAAGATCTGCAATCAGCCGATTTCAAGGCAGGTGCTGTCTTTTTGGCCCGTCGTGTGTACCGTTAGTGCGAGCGCTTCTTCAATAGGAATCTCCCCCCAAGCTTCCTTGAAGAAGCGTGAGCTATCCTGCGTCCAGTTACTGGAAGCTAACTAGTAGCTAGTAGCTTACTAGAGTCCCTTACTTAATCAAGTAGGCGCCTACTTAATTAAGGAGGGAGGGGGGGGAGCGGGCTAAAATGAAGTCATCTGAGGCAGTCTTTGTTTGGAGTTGCGCCATAGCGGCTCTTTGGAGATCCCTCTACCTGTGAAGCTCTCGGAGGAACAGCGAGAGGCCCCAAAGGCCAAGTGGTCCGAAAAGACGCGGACCCTGAAAGTGCGCTTCGTGCGGAACCCAAGACCGTTGACATATTGACGTGCATAGAATTGCATATAACAATTATAATATATATATATATATATTTAGGTGCATCTTGGAAAGCCTTCAACAAACACGTTGAGACATGTTTGTGTCTTTAATATGTCTATCCACCAAGTATTAGCTGACACTAGCTGATCAGTCGGTTTCGGCCTATCAAAGATGTGAAGTTCATCAGACCGGGGCATCTGAGACCTGCGGTCTGTGCTTTGGCCCACCTAGGTGCTTGACTGACTCCGAGTGAAGGTGTCACAAGAGACACCGATGATGTGGCAGATCTCCATTCATTTTCCGAGAATTCGTTTTTTGCAGGCAATTTCATGTCACCTCTGGAAGGAGACAAAGTAGTTTGACAGAATTGGAATTCACAGAAACCAGACTTTTCTTTGCAAAAAGGGTCTTCGCTCTTCTTCCTTGCTTGAGACGCAGCTATTGATTTCTTCTGGTGCTGGAAACACGCTAAGGTTTGGGACTAATTCGAAGCCATTTCATGAGACTGATCCAAAACCTGTGTATGAGCGGGCCATATCAATTCAGGAGGCATACCTTGGCCCAGTGGACTCGAGAATTCGGAATGTGCCTCGTGCACCACCCCCATTGCGTCGCCATGGCTCATGCACCATCTCCGACCTCTGGTGCGTTTCAAAGCACTTAAAACCCCTTTTCCATCTCCTCAGGCGTGAACAGTAAAGTCGATCTCCTCAGTTCTCCCCAGACCATTTTTGCAGGTCTGCCGCTTCCTGATGGCTGAGGCCCGGAATTTCAAGTGAGATCGTCACCTAAATGGTTTCACATGAGTTCGGTAGGTATCCCAGTATTATCCCAGTCATAGATAGACTATGGCTATGATAGAGCATGACAGGGTGTCAGTTCAGCTTTCCTGATGTCTTGCGGTTGTCAGTTGCGATGTCTTGCCGACTCCTACACAGCGAGAGGCTGCACGAAGTTATACTCCGCACCGCTCGCAGGAGCGATCCTCGCTGGCCGAAACGCGGATCTTGGCTGAATGGGTGGATCATCGTCATTTCGAGGACAGATGCACCAAGGGATTTTGAGGACAGTTGCTGTAGGTCAACGCCAAAGAAAAACGGTCTCTGTTGGCTTCAAGGCAAAATCGAGCTGTTGCCTGTTTGCTGCAGGAAATCGACTCCACACAAAGCTTCATCGAGAGGGAGCATGAGTCCTTCAATCAGGAACTTTTGCTTCTTTGTGACAAATGCCAAAGAAAGCAGATGGGTGAGCAAACAGACATAATTACACGTGAAAGGCTGAACAAGAAGATTCGGGACCAACTTGGACCTGAAATAGGGGCTTTATTATTGTTCCTAGTTGTTGTTTCACGCTAGGATGTCGTATACATGTCTCACTTACCTACCGTTTGGCTCAAGGAAAACCAGGTGCGACTTGTTGGTAGTTCTCGGTCGTTTACCTGTATCTACAGGTTATCAGCCGTATCGCCATAAGTGCGGTACGTGCTTCCTACTAGCTGTGGTCTCACCCCACCCTAGGTAGTGCACTATCTAGAGGCCATGGCTGATGATGATGGTTCCCGTGGTGACCGCTCACGCTCAGGCTACGTTCCTACTTCGCCTGCGATGTCCAGTTCACCTGCTGCTGATCTCCCTGTCGTTCCGCTGGAGTTGCGTGTACCAATTGCGCCACCGACGTTCAGTGCACAGGGGGACCTGTTGCCTAGTGGTCAAGCACCGTCGCCGTTTCAACCTGAGTTTTCTCCTGTGATGAATGTCCAGAACGTTGATGCAAGACAGATCCATCAACAAGCAGTCTTCGTCAATGAGGACAGGTCAGCACAGGTAGCTCAGATTGCAGAGTTGCGGCATCAGGCCATTTTGGCCGAGCACGGGCAACAAGTAGCTGAGGATGCTAGGCAGTTTAGAGACTTAGTGGAGAACCAAGCTAAAGTGGCTGTCCAGGAGTCTAGGGAACAAATTGAGGCTTTAGCCAATCAACGATTGAGTGACATGAACCAAGCCCATCAAAATCAACATCTTCATGAACAACGGGCTTACCTAGATCGCCTTTCGCTCGAACGACACGCCGTCGTTGAGAACGAACGCGCCTCTGCCAAGCAAAGAGAGGATGCACTTCGGTCAGAGTTAGCAGAACAGAGTCGAATCATCAAGGAGTTGAGAGAGAGGTTTGACAACGCCTCGGGGAACCGAGCGCCTGCACCATCAGTGCAGCCACTTGGGTCTCAGGTGTCCCCAGCTCTGCCTCCAGCGAGCCTTCGCACTCAGTTGGAGAAGCCCGGGATCGAAGGCGGTGATGAGCCTCATCCATCCGATGCTGATGAAGAGGGTGGTGACAAATCAAAGAAAGACAAGAAGAAGAAAGGTAGGGATAAGAAGAAAGAAAAGAGCCCTAAGAGGGGCCGCTCGAGGGAGCGCAGAAAGAAACGCTCTCCTTCCCCATCACCATCGTCACCCAGTTCATCAGGAGGGAGTGATGACTCAAACGACTCAAGCTCTGAATCATCGCGTCTTGCACGCATCATTCGCAAAGAGCTGAAGAAGCAGCAAAGGAAGTCGAAAGACAAGGATCATGAGAGTAAAGCCAAAGAAGCTGACAAAATTCTCATTCCCAAGTTCCCCACACCTGAGAAGTACAGAGACTGGAAGATCAAGGTGAGGGACAATATTGCTGCAGCTTCAGCGAAGCCGGATGAGGCGAGATCTTGGGCAGGGAAAGTATACAAAGATTCCCAAACCATTGATGCCTTGGATGATTCAGAGGGATTTGCAACCCTCGACGCAAAGCTTCTTGCAAGCTTGACCAATTGCGCTGAGGGGGACCTCGGTCGGCAGATTGCTACATTCAAGGAGTTGCGTGCTCGTGAAGACAAGAACGTGAAGGGTAGACACTTGCTCCTTCGGTTCCACGAGTATTTTGCCACAAGCATCAAGCATGGAGCAATCTACGGGCTCGAAGACCTCATGTCCGTCAAAATGGTCAACGATGACCTCAAGGGCTTTATAAATAAATGGGATAGCGTTCTTGCCGGGATGAAAAAGGAACCAGAAAACAGTGTTCTGGAAGCCTATTTCCACCTGGCAGTGAAACGTTTCAAGCCGCTTGAGCATGATTTGGCCTTGTACGACCGTGCAGCCGATGGAAGCAAAGAAAGAACATACGACTTCCTGATTACTGCTGCCCGGGCCTACCTCGAATGGAAGAGGTTGGAAAAGATGCGCGACGCCACGAAGCGTTCGCTCGGGTCCAAAGACACAACCATGCCAGCTCCGGAGGAGAAGAAAGGCATCTGCTACGAGTTTCAAAAGACCGGAAAATGCAAGCGCGGATCATCATGTCCTTACAAGCACGAAAAAGGCCGCGAGAAAAGCAAAGGAAAGGGAAAGGGTAAGGATCGCAGCCAATCTCGGTCAAGATCGCTGACACCAGGATCTCGCAAGGAGACTTGCAAGTTTTGGAAAGCAGGGCATTGCCACCGAGGAAAATACTGCGCATTCCAACACCCTGAAAAGACTGTCCCTGCGAAGAAAGAGGACAAAAAGAAGAAGAAGAAGAAAGACAAGAAACCTCGCAAGCGAAGCAGCTCACGAGGATCATCAGGCTCCGAAAACTCAACTGGCTCTGAGAGTCAGAGGAGAAAAGGTGGGAAGTCTTCTTCTTCCAATGCACCGGCAGCGGTATGCCTCCTTCGAGCAGTGGTCATGGCCGCAGTGGTCTCTCAGGGATCCTCCGTCCTCATCACTCGCCCGCTGGGAAGCGTGGCCATGCCAGTCCTTTCCGCATCAAACACTATGTGCACCGATTTTGACAACACAGAAAACATTGACAGTTTTGTTACGCAAAGAGTTCGTTTTGACGATCAACCAAACGTTTTCAATCATGCTGTTGAGTCTTCTTCCAGTTGGAGATCCGTACAACCCCGGAGTAAGAAGAAACGGAGACCCTTTACACCAGGTCGACCGGAGCATGCTGAGGCAGTTCGCGTCGCTACTGAGGACGCATCCATTGCAGCATCACACCTTCAGAATGCTGTCAGGAACGAACTGTTGTCCTTGCCGGCAGAATGTTCGTACCTGTGCAACTCTGATATAGGTTGCATCAAGTGTTTTGAGAGGAGGTCATGTCCAACAGTGCCCGCCACTGAGATTGCATGGATTGCAGATACTGGGAGCGCACACGATCTTGTATCTAGACACATGCTACATTCGGATGAAGTGTCACAATCGTCCAAACCGGTCAGTCTTCTTACTGCCAACGGAGTCTTTCAAGCCACTGACCAAGCCAGAGTCAATGTCCCCGTGTTGGGAGCTGACATCAATCCATACGTCTTGGAAGATAGCCCAGCCGTCGTATCGGTAGGACAACGCTGCATCGACGCAGGATGGAGCTTCCATTGGCCCGCTTACAGTAGGCCGTACTTCAAGAAACCAGACGGAACCAAAGTCAAACTTGAAGTGGAGGATTATGTACCATACTTGCCATCAACCACTGGTGTTGCAATGTCCGCCATAGGTCAACCTTACGGTACGAACGATCGGTCCAGGGCACTGCGACCAATGATCCCCCTGCCCGCGTCGCCGGCTGAAGAGGCAATTGAGGTCCAGGACGATGAGGACAACCCCATCGGCGAGGATCCTGTTGAAGATGATCCCGAGCCAGTGGATGAAAGGTTGGTGGAGAAGCCGTTGGACCCGAAGAGGGATAGGGGAGAGAAAGCTCTCAAGGAAGAAGCACAATCCATTCAACATCTGTTGACTCATACCCCAAAGAACCCCTTTTGTCAAGCCTGCTCGAGAGCAAAGATGACCAAACGTCCATCGTATAGCAAGGGTGGTTCAACCCAGGTAGAGGCGGATCATTTCGGACAACATTTGACTGCTGACCATCTTGTCATTCGTGACGATGAGGAAATGGACATCGATGGGGCTCGCGTCGCATTGGTCGTGAAAGATGTGGCAACGGATTTCAGATATGTCTATCCGGCCGCACGTCGATCAACACGTGAATGCATAGCAGCCTTCAAGCATTTTGTCCGTTCGACTGATGATGTAGGAGTATTTTATTCCGACAATTCACCAGAACTCATCGCGACTGCCGAAAGGCTAGGATGGAGGCATCAAACCAGCTTTGCATACGTCTCTAAGACCAATGCTATGGCCGAGAGATCGATTCGGTCTGTCATCGATGGAACAAGGGTAAACCTAGAGCAAGCTGGCCTACACCATCAATATTGGGCTCACGCTGCCAGGCATGCATGCATGGCAAACAATATCGTCGACGCCCGGGAGGGTAGTTCGCCTTGGTCGCTTCGATTCGGTGAGAAGTTCACAGGCCCTTTGGTTCCCTTTGGGTTGAGGATTGATTACTGGATCGGCCCCAAGAACAAAGCCAAGTCCTCTCTCAGGTTCGAGCCGACGTCAAACCCAGGGATATTCTTGGGATATGCCGTTCAGTCCAATTTTGTGTGGAGAAAGGAGTTCATGGTTCTACCATTGAAGGATGTCATGGAATCAGACTTCAGTGCGGAGATTCAACCATTAAGAGTCCATCAGATTGCCGTTCCCGACATCGGATTACACTTCCCATGCAAAGGCAGGTACAACATGATAAGAGAAGGTTTGTACCCAGGCATTTCCATTTCGAGCAATCCGCCATCAATTGATGATGTCAAGGCTGCAAACATTGAAGAGCTTGTTGATCAGGAGGTTTTGAAACATGCTGTTGACCAAGAGTATGAACCTGATGAACCACCAGAACTCCCTGACGTGCTAATTGACGATGCACCCATCGCCGCTCGCGGGTCGGGAGACCTTGCCGACGATCCGGGGGGGTGAAGAGGTTGAGATGATTGAGGTTCTTGATCCTGTTACGGGTGAAACAACTTTGATCCCCAAAGCCGATTCATCTTACTATGATGCCGGAGGTTACAAGGCAAGGAAGTACAAGGGTTCGTCAAAACCACCCAGCATTCCTCCGTTCCTTTGGAAAGCCGCTTCCAAAGCAGAAAGGAAGAAGGCGATTGCAGAGTACGAGCTTGAAGAGGCTCGGAAGCGCCTTCTTGCTGAGAAGAGCAAGCATAAAGCAGCCGTGGCAGAGATTGACGGCAAACTGCGAAATTTCAAGAGCGGAGACATTCCCTCTGAAGCGAAAATGGACGCCACCTGGGAAGGTGTGCCTTTGATGCCGGTTGAACATGAGGAGA